CTTCTCCAGTTGCCGATACTATTCTGTACGTGTAACAAATTTCAATTAAGTAAAGTAAAGATAATCAACTGAAGAACCTCTTGATTGTTAAACAAATTCTCCTTGCCAGCACATTAGGAAATATATTGAGAACAGTATGGAGAATATGCATTCTGATATCGGGGTGTAAAGGGTTAAAGACATCATGTAATAAGTTATATATATGTAGAGTCCTGCTTGAATATATGATTGCAGTACGTACAAATGCCAAGTAAACATCATTCCATAGTCTTCTACTCTTCCACTCTGGAGGTTGCCTTGTGCAAAATAAACAAAAAACTTTTTAAAGACACCCCTACAATGGTAGTTACACACAAGCATTGAGGTATGATTGTCAATTTGCCATTTATACTTGCAAACAGCTTATTTCTATCAGCTTTTAAAACTTCTGTATCCCCACTCTCAAAGAAAAACATTTCCCGTGCAAATGTAAACATTAAAGACATAAGCTACCAGCAACATGTTTTTCCATTGCAAGTGTTTCATAACATCAGATTCTCATCACATTTTTTTTTTACATTTGAAAGCATAAGAGTATTTTAATCATTACAATGTGATGAAATCCCCCATTTTAACTCTTTAATTCCCATGAGTGACCTAGACAGAATTTCTCCCTACAATATCAAAACAATATCAAACAGACAAGTTATGAGAATAAAGAAAAACATCAGTTAGGCGATTATAAGATGATCCAATACTAAATCCTCCAAACTAACATCACAAGAACTGTATGGGAGATAGTAAGGAGAATTGCTAGTGAGATCTTGGGAGTTAAAGAGTGAAGTTCCACTGGTGACCAAGACAGAATTTCTCCTCCCATTATTAGTGTGATATAAAGCAGACAAGTAACTAGAGTTAAGAAAAATATCAATTAGGGATTATTGGTTGATCCGATTCCAAATTCTCCAAACTAGCATGACATAAATTGTATGGCAGACAGTAAGGAGGATTACTCATGAAAGTTTGGGAGTTAAAGGGTTAAGACACATATGGTAATCTGTGTACCATAAAGTCAGCAAATAAATATAAAATCATACTCCAATAAAGTGTTATTATGTAAAATGAAGTTTCAAACTTGAATATGAAAGAGATCTTTGCAGTAATGAACACTACTTGAACAATAGTGTAAATAAGGCCTGGAAAAAATTCAGGCATGTACGGTATTTGAACCTATGACCTCTGCGATACCAGTGCAGCACTCTATCAACTGAGTTAACAAGCCAACTGGGAGCTGGCCATCATGTTGGTTTCAAATAAACCCGTGAAGAGAAGTTTCAACCTCATTGAAATTAAGTTGACTTCATAATTTATATTTTAATGTTAAAGAAATGTGCAATTATATCTCTTTACAAGGATGAAAAGGGATGCATTTTTTGAATTTTAAAATAGTAAATGCCAAAAATATAACAATGGAATTGAAAAAAACTACTAAAATATATCATATCTATTCACTGAGGTTTTAATCATTAGCTGTCACATCGAGATATAAAATAGGGTTTGTGCAAAAAACCAGGGCAAAAAAATTAAAGATTCAGGAGAAGCATATGATTTTAACTTGTTTACTGATGTTCTCACCTGAATTCAATCTGGAATAAGAACTCTGCAAGACTTCTGTTTTATCTTGAATTAAAACATAAAATTCAATTATTTGCAAGCAGGTTGAGGAGGAGATTAAAGGAATGGATACATGTTACATAAAAAGAAACCTCTTACAATAAAATAAAGCAGAGGCATATTACCAATATATGGTCATAAAAGCAGTTTTATTCTAGCCTTCCTACTTGAAGGGTGCCTTGTGTATCAAATATATCAAGTTCAGTACCTCCCGAGTCACAAGCCGGGCTTTTGGGGCCACAAATAATAAAATAATCAACGAGTTATGTCGGGCCAATTGATCGGTTGTAACGCTTGCGCGCTTGCGTGACTTACAAATTAGACAAAGGTGATCGGAAGGCGCCTTCTCGATAATTTACGTTGAAATATCAGTTCATGAACTACGCACAGTGTGGAGAAGATCAAAATTAAAGAATAAAATTTGGCACTTTTGTCATTACAGACATATCGCGTTGCTTAAAAGGACACAAAAACAAGTTAAAATGGGTTACAGTGTTTCCATTTACAAAACACTCTGAAACAATTCTTGCAGTTTTTCACGAGATTTAGTACACGGAACCCGAAAGGAACGAACCCATGCACATAAAACAACAGCGCACGGAACCCAATGAACTAGCCCTCCTATGAACCACAACGGTTTTGAGCGACAAACTAGACATTTCCTCACGGCCATCAAAATCAATTGGACAAACCCAGCTTGACATATTGGGTGACGTGATTGTGCAAACTTTTCTCTTTGTTATACTACCTGCTTCGGGGGTTCTACAAGTTTGAACCAAAATTAGTTAATGTAACGAATTAGAATCGAAAGTTATTAAAATGGACTGAAGAATTTTATATTTTAATGAGAGTTTGATCTTTTAAAATGTTTTCATGGAAAGTAAAGATTGGAGTGGCTTTGGGTATTTCAGCCCTGATTTGGAAAAAATAAAACAGTTATTGGTATGTTCTAAACATCACAACACCTGAGAGGACACTGGAAATGTAGTAAAAGTATTTTTTAGCATCCAGAGCAAAATGAAGAATGTGAGGCAGTGAAAGGAGACTGATTTTTCAAAGCCATTTGTCGTAAAAGCTGCCACCAGCTTGTTATTGAACTCACTAAAATTTTCCTGGAAGGCATTAACTTTCTTTTGTCGCGAAACTCGTGGATTTTTGAAATTTTAAGCGGATGCAAAATCGAGACAAAAGTTCGTCATAACACAATTTGTCCTTTGATTTTGTCAAAAGAATTTTGGTTTTGTCTGTTAGTGCAGATAGCCCAGATAGGCACTTACGAATCAATTTCTAGTCAAATAATAGCTTTCACTCTCGAGAAATTACAAATATATTACCCATGTGATCCGACTACAACTTTAATTCCGAAAACTTCGAAAACATCTCCAGTCAGTCTGGCTTTCTTTTACTGCCTTACATTTTCCCTTGTACTGTGGCTGCTAATGAGTACTTTCACTGCATTTCCAATGTTTCTTAAAGTGTTTGGATGTTTAGAAAATGTCAATAACTATTATATATTTTCCATATTGTGGTCAAAATGACCGGAACGAAACAAAATTAACTTGTAGTTGAGGATTTCGCTGGATAGCTGGTAGTACTTCAAATGAGTCGATACGTCGTCCAGGTGTCCCAGCGGATTTGGACCCCACTAGATTTGGACCCCCGGTCCAAATCTGCCGGCGGATTTGGACCCCCAACAAAACTGAGTGAAAACATCATCCTTAACGTACTACTAAAAATGGATGATACTTAAGTTCCAGTGCGTACTAAAGAATGTTTTTAATTCAAAACATGCGTATCGTTAATGCATACGAACTGGCATCCCGTCGTATGTTTCATTTGACCAAGGGAAAATGGGCAAGAATTTAGTATAATTTCTGGAGAGAGGTCGTTTTTGAACCTTTTGCGCGATAGTCGAATACCGCTAGATTCAATAAGAGACAAACTTATGACACTAATTTATTTTGTCATTGTTCAATGCCCGAGTGTTGGGACGACATGGTACAGTGCGAGTTGTGCGAGGAATGGTTACACATGAGCTGCGAGGGTTTAAGACTGGCCCGAAGGGCGAGTGGTTCTGCATTGTCTGCAGATCGCTAGACTCTAGACGTCTTCGTAACTTTTAAGGTGTTATTTCGGATCCCACAACAGTTAATAATCGTTAAAATTAGAAAATAAGATTGAGTTCATGTAATAGTCTCCACTTTTGTTAACGTATCAAGAAAAGCGGATCAGCCTAGAGTTGAGCAGGCTTTGTATAACGATTAACAATGACCGTATATGGCTACTTTGGAACAATGGCGGAAACAGCTTTAAAATACACGCGGGATTTTTCAAAATTTCCGATTATCATACGAGCGGCAGATTTAAACCATCGGCAAAACTGATGATAAGACAAATCCTCCCCGTGGGGGTGATTCTGGTAGATTTTTTAGGATGCAAATAGTCACCGTGGGGTGGATGGTGGGGCGACATTGGGTAGTAAAGAGATGTCACCGTTTTTTCCTTTATATTGCTTAGAACTGGCGAAAGATATATTCAATTAGAGGCTCGCTGTGCGATGCAAAGGTAATGAGGGCATGTGTAACCTGGTATTAACGTCCGAAGCCTACCACGCCGTTGAATTTCGCGCTGCATGAATGAGATTTTGTTCGAGATGTGCACAAAAAGTTTCATATTCTCCTTCTTCTAGCGTGTGATTTAAACCTGTTAATAACGTCCGAAGCCTCACGCGTCGTTAATTCATGTAGTTTCATGGGTATCATTCTCTTTCCGTATTTCAATTAAACGAAAGGAGTTAAAAAAACAATGGCGAGTGGAAATAGTCGCATACGCTCGTCAATTTCTCCCATTTGACTCGACTGTTCAATCCGAGTATATTTAAATTTCGCGCTTCGTAAGCACGAAAAACTGAATAATCTCCTCCCACAAATTTTTTTTGTGTTTACACAAGCCGATATCTAATAGACACCTATTCATCCTTTTGTGTGAGAGCAGGAGGTGAGAATTTTTTCGCATGATCATGTTCTGCTAGTTTCTTTTGTTTTTTTTCTTTTTTTTTGCTCAACAGGTTACGTGTATATTGTCAGATTCATCTACCAAATTATTGGGCAATCAAATTTCGCGCTACGAAAGTTATCCTATTTTCCTAGATAAAACATGAAGGGGTCAAAACGTTTAGAAAAGAAAAGGAAAAAAGTTCCCCCCACAGAGCACACAAATGAGCGAAGCAAACTTCTTGTTTATCGCTTATATTTGTAAACCAAATTCACAAGTAATTAAAGACATCACTGTTACTTTTATCTTATGACATATATATGTTTATATTTACTTAACCTGGTCTTTAAAAATGATAGCTTTTTATTATTGCAGAGATGGATTTCCTTGATTGAGGGTGGGTATTGGTCATCGAGTTTGAACGGTGCCAATAAATCTGTTAAAATGATAATAATGATAATGATAATAAACTAATTGTGATGAAAGACAAATGTAATAATCAACAGCTTAACGTAGAGTATTGGGTGTAGAGTAAATGTATTTTGAATAACTTCTTTATTTGCAAAGGTGAGGATATCTTAAGGTATGCATCGTTTAATGGAAGCATTAAATATTGTTTCTGTGACCGTAACAAGTGAGACATCTCAAAAACTCAATCGCTCAGTTGCTAAAACGAATCCCTTTGGATCAAACTTCACCAGAATGTGTCACAAGGTAATTGTGAAAAAAATATGTGTGTAAAGTGCTCTGAACTGACTACTATCTAGAGGGAAAGTTACTTGGAAGCAGCTGAAGACTTTTCCTCATACTTTACCTCAACTGTTGAAATACGTTATCCCCTTCTGCGTCGGCGTCTCAGCCCAATAACACGTAATGGCCTGAGCCCGAAACTGTTCTGCTTTGTCCGTCTTCTGTTCGAACGTCGCCTATATATATGCCATTTAGGGTCTGATGATCTCTTCTCATCTTCATCATCAGTGTAAGCTTCTGGTCGGTTTTTATCGAGGTCACCATATTCAGTATTCTGATCAAAGTCACTTTAAATGAGATGAACATTGTAAGCTTTTCAAAATCAACATCTTTAGCTGCTACACTTTTTTGTTTCCTATTATAACAAAAACCAGCGAATCATATAAAGCCCGAGTATTTTAAAGTTCACTCCATGATCAAGGTATTTGTTACAGACAGTTCTAAACGCGACTATTGTGTGATATCGCATGTAGTGCAATAAAAAAAATAACCTTATGGATTGAAGACAAGCATTGATTGCCCCTTATAGGTGAACAAGAGTATATGAACCGACCTTAAGCAGAAGTTTAACCGTCAGTTAATTTCCTAAAGTCTGAAAGATCCTGTAGGGCTTAGTAATTAGTAAATTCAACCATTATTTCAATTCGCTAAATGTTTTACAGAGGATAATAAGTAAACGCGCGTAGGTTTGGAATTACTCTTCCGATGAGTTTAACTTGATATGGGCTGGAAATCCCTGCATATCACCGCAGTAAATAAATATGCTTTTTTTGTCCTACCAGTCAATTCAAATTTCATTTGGGTCAAAAGCGCTCTGCAAATTGTAAAGTGAAGTTTGTATCCTTTTTCCCCTCTGTGCTTAATTGTGCTTTATTAGCAATATAGGATGCGATAGCTACAATGAATATTTCTTTTAAAGCTTAGTACCTTAAAGATTCCACTAAGCCTGCTGTGTTCTCTTCTTCTCCATAATCATTCATATGTAATGCGAAGGAGATAGCAACAACCGATCCATAAACGGTGATAAGGAGGAACCTGTTCATGGCAAAGTCCTTCGTGCTTCTGGTTCGTTCACCGGGTGTACAGTGCATTTTATATCCTTTGATAGCAAGTACAAGTCAGTGATTTCCATATTGCGTAGTCCTGTTCTAGGCTTTGTTTATCAACAGATAAATTGCTCGATCAGTCTTGTTCACCGATATTTCAGTTTGGTATGTAAACCTGCGTGATACTGTTGTAACCTGATGAAACCGGCTGAGAAGACGATATAACCCAAAACATTTCTACAGCTGCACTATGATCATCTATATAATTTACTCACCTCTTGAAACTGATCAGTTTATTAGGAAAAGACAAAGAGGAGAATAACACTTCTAGATAAACATTTTAATCCCATGTTTTTTCAATGTTCTAGCTAAGAAAGCTAGCCAAGCCAAGCTACTTCAAAGGCCCCAGGATGAAAACGATCTTTAGTCATTGACGTATGTATCTGAAGTGTTTTTTTCTCCTATTAGGTTCCTTTTATGTAAGCTCGTATAAGGTCATTTTACTGATAGATTTACGAAGCTGCACAGAGATTACCCTCTTGTCTTTTTAATTGCTGTCTCGTCTTTGTTCTATTAGGCGTTCTAAACACTTCTTGCTATTGGTACTCTTGATTTTGATGCGGAAATATATTGCCTTGATCATTCATTGATCTCGGCGTAAAGGGGAAGTGTTCGAAATTTCTTAACTCGTGTGGAGCAAGAACAATGGTAGGCTTGAAGTGGTATATTTTTCCTAAAATTTGCAGTGTTATTATGACAATTCACTCCCTGAAAGTGTTATATAGCGTTTGACTTTAAACAAATGCAGCAAATTTTTTTGCCTGTTTATCACTATTAAAGTGTTTCTAATTTGTTTAAGCAATTTGTATTCATGCACTGAATAGGACGACTGGATTTTTTTACAGATCCTGATACACTTGCAATAGTAGGGAATGTTTCGGTAACCACGATATTCCAGTAAACTTATAATAATCACGTCCTGGCGATAAACTTTATCATGGATCTTTTTGTATCTTTTTGTATTCACGCGCGGTGCGCGTGATTTCACAAATTAGCCAATCACATCAAAGCACTCTAACCTTGACAATGGAAAAACTGACGTGGACATTTTCGTGTACTTTTAGTTTTTTTTCGCGAATTTTACTTACCTTTTTGTTTTTTAAACTTTCGTTCGCGTAAATTTGTCTCTCCTTTGTCTCTCCCTTTCATTTTAGCCAAATCTTGTGGTTTGCTTAACAAGTTTACACATATTTTCTATGGAGTTTTGAGTCTAGTCTCTTTTTTTCTTAAATGGATTTTTTACACAGACGTCGCTCTTCTCATGTGTATAGATCGTGATACACTCGCAATGCTCGGGAATATTTCGGCAACCACGATATTCCAGTGAACTTAAATAATTGCGTGCAAGCGATAAACTTAATCATGAAAAATATCAAATGAAGGAGTCTGCAGATATGAGCGCATTTATTGAAAGTGGCTAACAATATCAAGGCCACATTTTCCCTCCGAAAGTGTTAAATAGAGGATTACTTTGAACAAGTGCAGCAAAATTTTTCGCCTGTTCACGATCACCATTAAAGTGTTAATAATTTTATTTTTAGCAACTTATTTTCATGCACTTAATAGGACTGCTGGATTTTTTAATAAGTCCTGATACACTTTTAAACCCCGGGAATATTTCGAGTACCACGATATTCCAGTGAACTTAAAATAATTGCGTCCTGGCGATAAACCTCATCATGGAGCAATCGAATGAAGGAGTCGGTAGATATGAGTGCACTTTTTGAAGAGTGGCTTACAATATCACGGTCGCATTTGTTTTTTATTTTGGCACATATATCCTTCCGGTTATCTCTGATTTTAAGACTTCAAATTCAAATTTTGACGCTAATCAGGAACAGACGAGGACTGACATCCTGATGAATAAGCTACTCCTTCCAGCCTCGGTGCAAATGCTCCAAGCTTCGATAACATTAGCCCATCCACTTAAATGTACCCTCCCTAATAATAAGCCGGGAACAAATTCCTCCCAAATTCATTGGCCTTGGCCTATTAATCAAGCTTTTTGTCAACATAAATTCTACTTTGTCCCCGATCTCTGTTGATTGTTTTATGTTTTCCCGGGTAAAATGATAACGTAAATGACGACGTATTTCACGTTCGTTCAAACAACACGATGAACCGCGTCTCCTATGTTCAAGCTATTGAATCTACGATATAATCATCACTGCACATTTTTGTTGCCCATCGAATCTTATCCACTCAAATTTCGATTTCCTCACCATAATATTGAGCACGAGAAGAAGTGTAAATTTCAAATTAAATTATTTTCTTAATGCGGATGTGCATACACCGCGTATATTGGTTCAGAAATATAATGTTTATTTGTGACAACCGCCTCTTCAAATAGAAAGATCTTTTATTTTCAGCCAAAATATCACGCTATTTCTATTTTAACACTGCTTCAATATGTATCGTAGGTTTGTTGTTGAGCAGTTATTGATATGAGTAAAAACCTTTTGCCGCCACGTTGAATACAGAGGACCTGTTGAAATGAATGACTTATTCTTTTTTGCGCAAAAAATCTGCGTATAGCACGCTGGCCAGCTGGGAAGTTTGGTTCCTAGTCTTTCTTAGTTTGCAGACGCCCATTACAGAACGCCTGAGGTATTTTCTGCTGCTATTTTCGGTTGTTATGCTTCATTAAATATGCTTCCATGTTGATCCATGTATTTTGTAAGTATGATGTTTTAATGTAAAAGAAGTAATATGGTATTTAGAAAAATTGCTTCATTACTCGAAGGCGACAATGCAATGAGAATACTCCTCGCATGCAGTCATGGAAATAGAAATAATTTAATTAACAAATAGGAAGCCTTGACTGTGCTCTGTTCTGTTATAAAGCACTTAGGAAGCGGCTAGAGCACGAAAGAAGTGTAGGGAGAAACACGAGACGTAGTCGAGTGTTTCTGCCCACTTCTTGAGTGCAGCCGAATTCACCGGAACATGAAGATCGGGATAACAGCGCGGCAAAACTCAGCTGCAGTGACAGATGTGACTTTCCACTCAACGCATCGGAAAGGATATCAGAGCAAGCTCTTATTTTTTCACTCGAAGGGTGGCCGATGTAGTTTCTTAGGCTTGCTTTTCTGTGATGACCGGAGATCGCCATGATGAGGGAGACGCGATGGACTTCAGCATGATCATATTCGCTCAGACACTGTCATGATTAGAACGAATTTTAACAGTTATGCCAGTTTGGTTATATTTTTCATCATTTCTGTTTTGTTCTGTTTTGTTTTTGAACACTGAACTTTATATACTATATGAGTGTTAGCTGTGTTTGATTTTTATTTCCGTACGTAAGCTCGCAATCTAACTGAGCGTGAATTGATCTTTAAAACTCGGAATGTCTGTTTTGTTTTTCCTTTGAGGATTTTCGTATCTGCTCACGTTTTATTAACGTAAATTACGGCGCCTGGTATGTTTACAAACCTTTGTTTGGTTCTTCTGTTGCTACTTGCCAGCTCGCTTGTTCCGAAATGTCACTTTCAATTATCGGAAAAAAGCTAAAAAGAAGTCTCGGAAAAGGTCGAACATAGTACAATTTGGCAGATGGCGTGACAGCTTTAGAGCACGCTCTTTCAACCAATGACAGCGTTATATCCGAATTTTATTATAATGGGAAATATACATCTTTGTGTTCAGAAGTTTAGGCAGACATAAGTGAACTTTTCCAGAGTTGTCAATATATTTGACGTCAAAGAGGTTACCTGCTTATCTATCCGGCGGTTGACGTGACATTTTCTTCCGATTCTGACTGATTTTATGGCAATAAAAGGTACCGGTTGAAGTTAATCAGTTGCAAATGAGAAAGATGAACAGACTGCTCCTTTAAGTGTTGGTCGGCTTTATCCTGGCCATAGGATTCGCCCTGCAAGATGGAGAGAATAGCACCGAAATCGAAAAAGGTGCAGTTGACTTGAAAGCAGCAGACGCGGAGAGGTAAGAGACAGAAATTAACCCCACATAGTATTTTCTTTTAATCCTACTGCTGCTTATTAGAAGTTCTCGGTGTAGACTGAAGAAACTTTCCACGACTGCAAAGTTCAATTAAGAAAAAAAAATTTCCTTCTCATAGAAAAACTACAGACGATCCTCTTTTAAGGTTGTTAACAACTTCCACTCATTTTGACAATATTTGAATATTCTCAGCGTATTGCGGAAACAAAATT